CTGTTGCTCACACAGAACCATACTCTCTCTTCCCCATCGCCGATACTGCTGGGCTGCAAAGTCAGAAAGGTTGGGGAACTGCTGGTCTATATGATATACACAAGTAATACTGGACATCAGTGACAATCTGTGCCCACAAACCCATGCTATCTCCACTTTTTGGATTACTTCAAGATTACTTGGCTAAGATTTTGCAGGAATTACACCCACACATATAAATTGGCTTAAAACAAATGCATTAAATTACTGCTAGGCTTAGTGAGCTAAGTTTAAGTTGACCTTAAATAACCCTCCCATGATCCCATCCTAACTCCTCCTATAAAAAAGGATAGACTCTTTCAGTCTCACTTCTCTGGGGTTGTCACCCCATTGCACTAGGCTCCCTATGGCCTCAGCAATCAAATTGTTTTACGCATAGGTCCTTCAACTACTGTTTTGCCCACCCACAATGTTTGATTATTCTAAAATGCTACATCACTTTTTTTCTCATATAATCACAATATACTTCCCTTTGCTTTTGCTGCACTAGATCAGCTCATAGACATTGGGTTTGGAAAAGGACTTGTGTCTTTATTCTAGTAGAGACATCTGGCGGGTCATGGCAAAAAATACAAAACCTGAAGCCATTTGGTTCTTTTATTTATTTTTGTCCCAGATCATTCCTCCATCCACGTTACTCACCGATAATAAGACTGGACACTGGCATAAATTTTGAGGCCACCTGCAACCTGTAGATAGAACAGAATCAGATATAACTCTGAGCATCTATCAGTCATCAATCATATTGGAAAAGTGAGAATGAATTTACCATTCATACGATGTGTTCTAAGTTATCATCTACAATCTAAAATCTTCTAGTGTCATACTGGAACAGATTCTTTAAATGCCAACAGAAGAACATGCAACTACTGTTTGAAGTGAATGAGCTGTGGACTATAAAAATCATATAACTAATAACTTCAACTAAGTTCAAATCTTAGTTGAAGTGTTATCAGACAAATTACTCTATACTATTCCATATTCACTTTTGAAATACAGAAATATGAAATCGGGCCTATTTTACGGTGTTTAAGAATATCTTAAAGTCTTTGCAAACCAGAAGCCACAAACAAATTAATGTTTGATATTGAAAGATATTCAGAACACAGTAGAGCTTATATGCCAAATTAGATTTCTGCTATAAAGAAAAGAAATAGTTTTCTAATTAGAACTTATTATAATGTGGATAAAATGCAAAGAAATTTTTTTTTTCCTTCTCTCATACCGAGCATCCAGGATCAACTAACAAAAATAAATGCTTTTTTCTATAGCACTTAGTTAAATATGAAATGACCACAAATGACAAATATTAGGCACCAATTTAAAAAAGTTTGAAAAAAGGCAATAGAAGAGCACAAAGCTATTAAAGGCAATATATATGCCTTCAGAATCAGAGGCACTAATCCCTGAATGCCAGTGGCAGCAGGATGAACAGAAAATGTCACCAGGATCATGTTGGCTTCTCAAAAGGACCTGCTGGTCACTCTGTAAAGACAGGCTAGATTTATGTTTGGCTTGATCTGGCATAAAATTTCTTGTATTCTTAAAACGTAAAAAAATTAAACACAGCCCTAATATTTTATTATCTAAAATCCTGAAAATCTGGGAAGATCTTCCCAGAGTGTTCATTGTATATATTTGAAGGGTTCCTTTTTTAATTTATTGGACTTAATTATATCTATAGCACTGTACCTCCATCAGCATCATGATTCATTTATGCCTCACTAATTTCAAGAGCTGAATTATAAATAAGGCTAAATTTGTAACCAACTGTCCCAATCTATAATTATATAAAATATGTTAGCAATTATAATTACTAAAATAGTTGCCCCCCCCCCCGAAAGCAGTGAGATTTCTCATTGCTTTTGGAGAGTCAACAAAACAAGAACAAACCATTCTTTTCTTACTCAAAACAGTAGAGGGACACAGGCAATTCATATTCCTGGGTATCATGATCATGCATTTGAGTATGATCTAGCCATTTTGCCATACTGATGGACTGGGAACATACATTTGACTTACCTATTAACTTGCCCTAATCTTGTGAACCCATTTCTAAAGCATTTGGAACACTTAATAAAATCTGCAATAATATTGTCTTGCTCTAAGCAAAATCTGTTTCTGCAGATGGCCAAATGTTCCTAATGTGCTTAATTCTTCACTGGATAAGGAGAATGTATTAATAAGAGGACAGTTTGAAGTAGTGGCAAGTCTACTTGTCTAAGTGTATCTAGTCTATGTGCATCAACAGCAGGAGTATAATCTTATTGAAGACCACAAATACTTGAACTGAATACTAACCATCCTCCGGGAGCAGCACACAGATCCAGCAAGGCCCGTGACTTTGGAAGGAATTGGAATTTGCGATTCAACTGGATCAACTTAAAAGAAGAACGGGAGCGAAACCCTGGAAAACAAAGGTCAACATCAGGCACAGTTCCAGCTATAGCTATGAGGCTCAAACTCTACCTCGGCAATTTGGACAGTGAACTGTGAGCTTTAAGGAGTCCAATTAGAATTTCAGAATGTTAGAAACACAAGCCAATGCTTGCCAGTGAAAAAAGCAAACCTAGCACCAGCCCCATAATAATGATAGTGATATAGGGTTAAGCTCAAACTATGAGCAGAAAAACTCAGATTCTAGTCTAACTCAAGTCACATATGTTCACTCTCATTCTTTTTCTCAACCCAATCTACCTCACAAAGTTGTTGCTGGGGAAGGAATGGGAAAAGGGAGCATTATAGATGCTTTGAGGTTTTAAATTCAAGGTGGAATAAAAATCAAACAAGTAAGCAAATAAGCAAAAGCAATTGCCCCCCCTCCCCCCCTAAAAAAGAAGAATGAATCATCGATGCTATGATTCAGGTCACCATCCCAATGATCCAGAAAAGCACCTAAAGTTGACCAGGCAAAGCGCTTACATGAATTTATTTGGGAGCAGTATCTCTATTAGGCAATAATGTTAAATGGGATATCTTTAAAGCAAGGTTCTCCAAACTCTCAAGCTCATCAACTCTTTCATGAAATTTCAAATGGTTCACTGACCCTCAAACATTATATAAAAATAATTTAATAAACACTACTTTAATAAATACTACAAATGATAACAATAGTAAAGATAACACACTGCTGTTTTCGTTGATGGCTGACCTTGGATAACCCTGTCTTACTGCTAGCCATCTTACCTCAGGACTAGAGACTAGCATGGAGTTCAAGAGACTCCAAAAGATTGATTCTAATTGGAATACAGCCACTTAACTCCCTTTTTGACCCTCAGCGATTTATAGACCCTTTTGATAGCCCCACAAACCCCTTGGGGGCTGATACTGAACATGTTGGGGATCCTTGCTCTAAAAAAGAATGCCTGTTCATTGTGGCAAATATTTATTCATATGTTACTCTTTTGCTCTGGCAATTGCTTGTATATAACAACTTTGAGGAGATTTTTGGTTGAGATCATCTTTTAACTTTTTTAGTCAACTTAAAAAAAAAAAGATTTCATTAGTATTGTGTTTGGTCACAACTTCCATTCTTCCAGAACTCATGTTGGAATTTGTCACATAACACATTAGGGATTTGATACAGGAAACGTTTTTATTGTTGCATTCTGATTGCCAGCCATGAATACCCGACAGAAAGAGAATAAGACCTTTTGACAATTAATAAACATTTTTATCTAATCATTTTTAGTCAAAATGAAGCACCACAGACTCTTTTACATAAAAAAACAGCTCTGGGAAGCCAAGAGAGCAATCAGGGCGACTATTCCTTTCTCTTAAGTATGAGTAGGGACAGAAATATATTTTTGCCTCCTGGCGGCCAAACTCTCCAAAGTCGATGCGAAGAACGATAAACAATGTATTAAAAGCCCATTTTCTCACCGGTCTCTTTGGCCAGATGATAAAACTTGTCTCTTCGGCTTTTTCCGACTTTCCCCTTCTTGCCCATCTCGACTAAGAATCAGCGGCCGCACCAGCTCTGACCCAGGGAATCCCACGTGCGCAGGACCTGCCGTGACACTCCTCCCTTCCACGTAGCTCTTCCTCTTCCTCTTTTTCTTTCTTTCTTTTTTTTTGTTGCATGCCAGACATCCGTCCGAAGTTTTTTTTTTTTTTTCAGCCATTTTGTGTGTCAGTTGCCCTTTTTCCTCTCCTGTTTAAAAAAGCAGCCGGGAGAAAATGCGAAATATATATGTATTATATTTTCCCAATCGTATTAACACCGAGATACAGGAAATCTTCCATTTAAAAAATTGCTGCTCATATGGTGGCCACCTGGATGTTTATAATTTAGACCTGGGTTATTTTAAATGTAGCGATAGAATATAACGAGGACTTTTCGAACTACATTTATCATTATCCTCAGCCACCATCTGCGATGGATGCACAACCTGTATTCCGAAATTACTGTAGAATTTGTAACTATTCAAATTCAAACCTTTATTGTCAGAGTACAACATGTGTACAATGAGATTGGCTGAGCCTCTCTTAGTGCATCCTCACCCCCCCCAAAAAAAACACACACACAATACAACTCACAGTGAAAGACACGCACACACAAAAGCTACGTATTCGGCACGCTAAATGTAGTAAGCATTTAATTCTGTTTAATCCTTACTGAAATTAAGAAAGTCAAATGTTTTCAAGGAGTCTATTTCTAAATTTAATTACGCCTGAATCCAAATACTATAAAGACTGTTCTTTTTGGTATCTGTGTTTGGAGTCACATTTGTTTCCCACATTCACAAATCGTATTTAAAAACCGAACTCAACCCTACAAATTCACTTCCAACGAAATAAAACTTGACTTTCAATGCTCGAGGGGCTCGATTTCCGGGACAATTTATCCACGGGTGAAGCACCGGCGTCCCTGTTTGTTAAGGGCAAGCAACAGGAAAAGGAGGCGCCTCGTGCCATTTCTGAATTCCCTGTGCGCACGCGCGATTCTGAACAATCGTTAATCTGGGCGAAAGAAAATGGCGGTTGAGGGGCCGGAGCAGGTAAGCGATTCCTGCCGATTGCTGAGTCACATCAGCAGCTGCCGCCGCGTTGTACAAGAAAACAAAATGGTAGGGAAAGGGGAGAGTTGTCAGCGGCTATTTTTTTGTACTGCTACTGAGAGATCGGAGAAATGCGATTTCGGGAATAAACGGATTCTCATTGTATCCGGTCAGAGTAATAGGAAGAGGTGCGGCTTATTCTGAGGGAAGGGCGCAAATACCCTTAGAAGGGCGTTTGTTGCTGGTGACGTTACAAGGAGGGCAGTAACTGCATCGCTCTGGGGGGCGGGAGGGGGAGATGGGGATGGACATACGTATGTTTTACTCCCGTGTGTCCACCTGGTCTACCTCGAAAGCCGCATCAGGAGTTGAGGATATTCTCAGCCCCTGTAGTGGGGGAGTGAGAATAGTCTCCGGAAATGTGATTTAGGACTTTTAGGGGAGGCCTTGAGCTTTGCTTTTTGCTATAAATCTCCCCCCCCCCTCCTGTAAAAATTATATTTTTGGCCTCGGAGATTGCGGGGGATCCTTGGGAATCACAAAAAAAGAATGCATTTTCACACCTGGTCTACCTTGTACTGTATTTTTGGGCAAACACCTGCCATGCAAATTGCTTGTAATGAGAGGGACAGAAGATAAGTGAATTGATAAGGGGGGAATGCACATCTTGTGAGGTAAAATACGAAAGTGCCTTGAATGTTCACGTTGTTGCTAAAAGATCTTAAAACAGTATGGTTTTAATATGGGAAAATCAGAATTGGATGAGATATTGATGGGAACAGGTGAAAAAATGATTACGAAATTATATAATTGTCTACTGCAAATTAGATTAGAAAATGAAGTAAAAGAAATGATAGTGTGGGCAAAAGATTTTGGTTATAGGATTGAATTAGAGAAATGGCAACAACTATGGGAAAGGAATTATAAATTAACAATGGCAACAGCATATAAAGAAAATTTATATAAAATTTTATAGATGGCATATGCCACCATATGCAATGTTTAAAGACAAATCAGCTAAATGTTGGAAATGTCATCAGTCACCAGGATTATATTTATCATATGTGGCGGTCATGTAAGGAAGCAAAGAATTATTGGGTTAAAATGCAAACATGGTTAGAAGGAATGTTACACCTTAAGATCAGAGACATTTTTATTGGGAATTATACCGGAGAAATATGGCAAAGAAGATATGTATTTCATTATACATATAATAACAGCGACTAGAATAGTATTTGCACAAAACTGGAAAGCAGAAATGAACAGATTAACATTAAGAATAAAAGATAAAGAGGAATCGGTATATTTCAAGACAGGGAGAAGTTTTTATGATTGGCTAGAAAAGGAATATGAATAAAAATAAATGAGAGAGAAGACAAAAAAAATAGAAATCCAGATGACACCTGATTAAATGAAAAAGGGGGAAGGAGGGGGAAAATGAAAAAAGAGGTACTGTATAAATGTACGTTAAGGATCATATATGTGTAACCAGCAAAATATAAAAAGAAACTTTAAAAAAATGTTCATGTTTTTGCTAATTCAGGTTATTATTTAAGAGGACTTTTCTGTGGAAATGGAGATGTGAAACAGATGTAAAGTCTTGTTTTAGACTTTAATTATTTTTAAAGAAAGAAAAGGGTTAGCTTAGGGACTAAAGGAAGTATGAAATGGCAGTTACAAGGTGCCAGGAATTACTTGACTGAAAGGCTATGCTTAAAAGAGAGGTTGTCTCATGACTTATCCTGTTCTGCTTTTCCTTGACAGATGGACCTGGATGAGGGCAAGGGTGGGACAGGGCTGCGCCAGTATTACCTGTCCAAGATTGAGGAGCTGCAGGTAAGAGCTATTGATTTCCTGAAAGATTAAAAGTCATGTTATTTTCTTTACAAATAGACTTTTTCTTCTGATGGATAGATTAAGCTTTGAAACGTTTGGATTGTAGTTGATTTGAAATGTGATTTCTGGATAACTTTCAACTTTGTCTTCATTACTGCTGATAATGTGTAGCACAGAGATGTCAAACTGGATTTCTTCGAGGGCCAGATCAGCATTGTAGTTCTCCGTGGGCCGGCTGGGGCGAGGGAGACGGGACGGACGCCTCCTGCAGCATCCTGCTGGCCAAAATGGGGCACGGTGGGGCTGCCTGCAGTCCCCCGCACCCTGTTTTCGGCCTGGATGCCTTCCTGCAGCACTTTGCTGGCCAAAATGCAGTGTGTGTGGGGGGGTTATTGCGGTCCCCCGCACCCTGCTTTTGGCCTGAATGGCCTCCTCAGCACTCTGACTGCCAAAACAGGGCAAAGGGGGACCGCCTGTGGCCCCTCCATGGCCCATTTTGGCTTCCAGAGGCACCACGGGCTGGATCTAGCCCGTAGGCCTTGAGTTTGACATCCCTGGTGTAGCATAATGTAGCATTTGCATTAATGCTTCAAAAAGAAAACAGTAGGATGTATATCCTGTTCTGGGGCTCATAATTGTGAATAAAGACAGGTATGTATGCAGAAAAAAATGGGGTTTTGACATACGTTTACTATGTTTGATATGAATCTTTAAGGCTTGGTCCATATGGTCTTGAAATATGCTGGGGAATGAACTCTCCTTACTAGAATGAGAACTAAATCACTTGGTTATTAGTATTTTATCCAGTTTATACCGGGCTAGAATAGAAATAGTGCAGCTGCCTTTGATTGTCTTAATTGATATCTTGAAGTGGTACAAATGCTTTGTAAAGCTTTTTGCTCCAGATTACGTAATACGTATAGCAGGACATATATGCTTTTTATTATTGTGACTTCTAAACAATGGTAATTGATTTCTGCCTGAGTTTTTCATGATGTATTGCCTTTTTCCTTTTTCTTGAAGTTGATAGTCAATGATAAGAGTCAGAATCTCAGGAGACTGCAGGCTCAGAGGAATGAACTTAATGCCAAGGGTAAGTTAGAAATAGTGCTTTGTTGGATTGCTTTTATGATCAAGAAATGAAGAGCAGAATAACCAAAATTGTAAATATTTTGGAAATTGAATATTAGGCTAGCCCAGCTTGCTGGAATAACAAAGTCTTCAAACCACGGCGGAAGGTGCGCAAGTCTGTGATCCTCCATACCTCCGGGGGCAGCTCGTTCCAGAGGGCAGGAGCCCCCACTGAGAAGGCTCTCCCCCAGGGGTCGCCAGTCGACATTGACCGACGGCACCCCAAGGAACCCCGCCCTGTGGGAACATACTGGCCACTCTTTAAACAAGAGTGATAGTAAGACAAGATAATTATAATTATCTAGACAAATGATAAATAAGTTTTTATATTATATCTCCTAAATAGCTAAAACCAAATTTATACTGCAGAGCACAATGGAATTGGTCTGCATATAGATTCATACACAGCACATGGTTTACTTGCTAAATAAGTTTTAATTAAAGATACCTTTACAGTCCTCAAATGTTTATACATATGAAGTTTATATGTTAACTTATGTATTTTATAAGCTAATAGAAATGTGATTTTGTAGGCAAGGATAGCTGAAGAGAATATCTTAGTTGATGAGTAGGAAATTATTTACTAGAAGTGTTCAAGAATCTGAATGCCAGTTTGAATACCAAGCCAGCTGTCTTTATATTGTGTTGACTTTAAGTTTTACTCTACTGCCATCCATCCAATATGTTGATGCATTATTTATTGTTTAAATACTTTATATATTCTAGTACGCCTGCTTCGTGAGGAATTGCAGCTTCTGCAGGAACAGGGTTCCTATGTGGGTGAAGTGGTGAGGGCTATGGACAAAAAAAAGGTGCTCGTCAAGGTATGGTCTTCCTTGCACACTCTATCAGATATTTGCTCCCTCAGTTGGAAATAGACTGAAATATTAGTTGAGAATAATAGTGTTTAGCATTTTTTAATCTTTACAGCAAATGTATAGGATTAAAACACTTCTGCTCAAATCTTCACTTAGTCAAGATTGTTAAGATAAAATTGCTGTGGGGGGAGGGGAAAAGAAAAGAGTTGCATGTATACTACACATAATCCTTGACTTGTAATGAATCATTTAGCAACCATTTGAAGTTACAACAGCACTGAAAAAATTACTTATGACTGGTCCTTGAACTTATGACTGTCACAATATACCCATGATCATGTGATCAGACTAGGTGTTTGGCAGCTGATATGTATTTATGATTTTGCAACATCTCAGGCTCATGTTATCCCCCATTTGCAATCTTCCTAGCAGCTTTTAACAAGCAAAGTCAGTGGGAGAAGGCAAATTTGCTTAATAAAATGGCAAAAAAAGTTGTAAAATTGGGTGTAACTCACTTAACTACCTTGCTTAGCAAGAGAAATTCTGGTCCCAGTTGTGGCCCTAAGTTTAGAATTGCCTGTACATAGAGCATTCATGTAATAAAACTGTATACATCTTTATAATTCTCAGATCTTTGAGACAAATTGGTAGGACCGTTGATAACAATGTTGTATTTGCGATGTTGGAATAAAATTGACAGTGACTAATCTAAATTTATGTAGGGTTATCATAGCAGCTGTGATGTTTAAATCAAAGATTACCTAGTTAGAAATTAAGCCTCTTAATGTAGTTTGCCACAGTATTGCAGGACAAGAGCAGCAAATATATTATTCTTTTATTTATTAGATCTTGCCCTTATTTCATAAGTAACTCAGATAATATGGTTTAATAGTGAACATTGAATGAATCCAGTTTAGACATGCCTTGCAAAATAAACTATCCTAAAATAGTGGAGGGTTTTCTTTCTAGCTGTTTCATTTGCTTTTGTAAAAGAAGCTATGAGCCAGCTGTTATACAGCTATACAATAACAGCATTGCTTATTGATCTTAACTTGTTGGCTGTTACAATACAAGAAATATATATTTTTTCCCAGTAGAGTTAATTAGCCATTTTGTATTTCAGGTTCATCCAGAAGGCAAGTTTGTGGTTGATGTGGACAAAAATATAGACATCAATGATGTGAGTAAGCTGTTTCTGGCTTTCTGAGGAGAAAGAAGGCCATAAAGTCTTTCCTAGATCCGGATTTGTGATTCCCCCCAGTGGTTCATTAGAAACTAGACCTGCTTCCATTACTTACAATTTATTTTCCTCTTTACTGTCCAGGTGACACCAAACTGTCGTGTTGCTCTGAGGAATGATAGCTACACACTGCATAAGATACTACCAAACAAAGTGGATCCTCTGGTTTCGTTGATGATGGTGGAGAAAGTTCCAGATTCCACCTATGAGATGATTGGTGGTCTTGACAAGCAAATCAAAGAGATTAAAGAAGTGATTGAGCTTCCAGTTAAACATCCAGAGCTTTTTGAAGCTTTGGGCATTGCTCAACCAAAGGCAAGTGAAAAGTGTTTCAAAGGGGCACACAGACCTTGAGAAATTGAAAGGATATTAGACTGCTTTTAAAAAAGACTTCAATAAGATAGGAATATCAGGTTAAGAGGAGCTATAGCATATGTTTTGTTTCAACTTCAACCCTTGGTATATACCCGTGTTGGCAAACTTATGGCATGAGTGCCAGAGGTGGCAAATGGAGCCCTCTCTGCTGGCACGCGCGTCGATGCCCAGGTCAGATCTCCATGGGGTTTCTTTCATGAGTTTCTGTTTCCCTGCAAACAACGAAACAAGCTCGCGAAAGAAAAAGATCTTACCTCTTGCCACGCTGCTGGTGTTGGGATGCCCTGCCTCCCGCTGGCCAGCTGGTCTTCGGGTCTCTGCTGTGCATGTCTACATGTCTGCGCGCATATCCATGTGTACGCATGTGCATGTCCACTCATGTGCACGTTTTTATGCACAGTTTGGGCACTTGGTGTCTAAAAGGTTTGCCCTCACTGGTATATATAGTCCAAAAATCTCAGTACCGAGATCTGGGAAATAATGTGCTTGAGATATTAGAGCACTATTCTGATTGTGTATATAATGGGCTAGGTGGGTTGAGGATCTCCATGTGCAATGTTCTCTGAAAAGCAATAGGTAGGCACGGTGATAATTCATAATTCAATGGGTGTTTAGGCAAGCTTATTAGAAATTATTTCTTTGGGTATTTTTCTCTTAATTTATAGGTTAGGATATGCGTATAAGATTTAGACATCTAGAAAAGTCCTCTTAACCTTTTGTTCCTGGTATTCTCTATGTTTTATGGAGGAATTGAGAGAACTGAAAAGGGTCAAGAGACATCTACAATGCCACTGTAGGAAGATGAAGGAATCAAATCAAGTTAAGAGCCACTATTGAGGCCTACTCTAAGGTTAAGAGTGGGTAAATGTCAGTATTTCTCTATTCTTACTGTGTCCATAGAGTGCTTCCTGATGACCTTGTTTAGGGTTTTCTGGATCCTCCTGGGTAAGGGAGCTTTAAAAGTTTACCTTCAGGCTATACTTAAGAATTTTCAGTGCATCCGATAGATAAAATCTATCTGGATTTATTCTCAGTTGGAGACAAAGCATGGTGCATGTGCTTTGGAGATGCCTGAGGAATGAATTTACTCAGTTATCTGGGAACACATTGATCCTCTTGGACCCAAGGAAGTGGACAGGGTTCTCAGAACTGTAAGTGTTGGCACCCTGTGAATTAGATCCATGTCCCTCCTGGTTGTTAAGTCTACCTGGGAGATGACGTGGGTGGGTCCTAGTGATGTTTAATTCATCCCTGAGGGAGGGGATATTGCTAGTACCACTTAAAATCGTGCTGGTACACCTTTTCAAAAACCCATCACCTGATCCCACCTTTCTGGATATTTTTGTCTCCCAACTTTCCTTTTTAAGAAAGGTGATTGAGAAGGTGATCATGATGCAGTTTTAGAGGATCCTGGATGATACAGATCGTTTACACCCCTTTTAGTCATGTTTCAAGCTCAGAAAAGAGACAGAAAGGGCATTGGTCATACTTTTGGACGATCTCTAGCAGGAACAGGATGGAGCTAGTGAATTCATATGAACTCTACACTTCTCAATAGTCTTTGATATCACCACCCATGGTTTTCATTTAGTTCAGCTTCGGAGGTGGGAGGGGGGGGGGCACAATTTTATACTGCTTCATATTCTCCCTCCAAGGCTAATTCCAGTCAGTGTTGATAGGTCCAGCCTGCTGTTCCTGCTTAGCAGGGTACTGCAAGGCTTGGTGCCCTCTACTCTTTTTAACATTTTTAACTCTTTAATATGGAGCTGCTAGATCAGACTCCTTCATCTGAGGTATCAATTCAGAGATTCAGATGAGGTATCACGCTTAATTCTCCTAGGATATATCTTTGTCCTGGGTGAATTAAATGATGTTGCGGATGCTGCCTACTGTGGTCTGGATAGGGAACACTGGGCTTCAATTGAACCCTGGTAAGGTGAACTGGCTGTGAGTAGGAGGCTCCTCTGTATCTAGGGAGATTACCATGTTTGGTCTTGGATAGGGTTGTCTTGTCCCAGACAGACCCGGAGTGTAATCTGGCGTCCTGGATCCATGACTCAGACTCAAATAGTGGCAGTTATGATTAGGAGGGCCTTTTGATTGGTAGTCTAGGAAGACCACCTTCTCTGCTGTCTTATGGACAGAGGCAAGGTGGGGCTGCACTCTAGTAGCCTTTCGGAAGAACATCAAGACCTGATTCTGACAACTAGCATGGGGATCTTAGAGCAATATACAGCAGTGGTTGGTGTCTTGAGGGCAGTCCATCTTTTTAACTTGTTACTTTTTCTTTTTATCTTTGTCTCTTGCATGTCTCTGTGGCTTTCATTTGTAAATCCCCAAGATGGGTAGTGTATAAATTTGATAAATATTGCAATTGATTATAGGCACTTTGGAAAATGAATTGCTAATTGCTAAATGGTACTGAAGCTGATTCTTAATGAAGCACATCACTACTGCTCCAAAACAATGTGTTAAACTCATAGCCATCTTTCCATGCCTAAGTGCGCGTATGTATGCCTTGTTTCATTGAATAAGAATGAAAGCTGCCTACAGGGTGGGGTGCCAGCATACTGCATAAAGTCCCTGGTACATTCTTTGAATTTGGAACTCTTCTATATCCTCCACTAATCTTAAATTCTCTCATACAGGGTGTGCTATTGTATGGACCCCCTGGTACTGGAAAAACTTTGCTGGCCCGGGCTGTGGCTCATCACACTGACTGTACTTTCATCCGTGTCTCTGGCTCTGAGCTTGTGCAGAAATTCATTGGAGAAGGTAACTTTTGGGAAAGAATTATGTGGTCTGGAATTTTAATTTAATTTATCCAATTTATGCATTGCCCAACTTCCATCATTAATGTAGTTAAGTTAACTACACACAATTTTATGACCTTTTTGCTGCAGTTAAGTGCATCCAGTTTAGTTCATGGACCATGTTTGTTGGAAGCTCCCTGGAAGGTTGCAAATGGTAATCACGTGACCATAGGATGATGCGAATGTAAATAAATGATGGCTGCAAGTGTCCAAATTTTAATCACATGAGCATGGGAGATGTTGAAATGGTTGTAAGAGCACATACTGGTCACAAGTCACTTTTTTCAGCACCATTGAAACTTTGAATGACTGTAAATCAAGAACTACTTATAATTGGCATCTTGAATTGCACGTAGAAGCAGACTGGTAACTAGTGCAACTAGTGGAATAGAGTTGTCACAAGGATATATTGAGGCATTACCAATGCCTTGGAAAGGAATTCAGGGATAGAAAATGGAATTAAAATTAGAACTGCAGCAAAATATTTAAAAGAATCCATGTTTGTGGAGGGATTAATGGAATTTGTTCTTCCAACCAGGGGCCCACTGTGGTCATTTCAGGGGGCTAAAGGAGTTAATATGCTTGATTTATGATGACAGGTGCAAGAATGGTACGTGAGCTGTTTGTCATGGCACGGGAGCATGCCCCTTCCATCATCTTCATGGATGAGATAGACTCCATTGGTTCTTCTCGCTTGGAAGGTGGATCTGGTGGGGACAGTGAAGTTCAGCGTACAATGTTGGAATTGCTCAACCAGCTTGATGGTTTTGAAGCTACTAAGAACATCAAGGTATGTTGAGAGAGGCGTGACGTCAATAAGCTTGTGTTCACCAATTCTGCTAAAGTAGAATTTTTAAAATCTTGGTTACATAACAAAGCCATTGGGACTTCAGACATACAGTTCAGACTTTTGGAAGATTTTACGAATCATGACAAGCCAAAATGAAATATGTATCTTAGATAATTGCACATATGAGTATAAAATTATGCCATCAGTAAAAATAACGAAAGGGGATGGATAAAAAGAATTTGGATAGAGGAGGTGAGTTATATAAGACAGACTTGTAATAGCTCAAAAGACACACTTTTTAGACTTGGGAGTGGGATAGGATGAATGTTCAGCTCAAAGCTATCTTTTTGCAGGTAATTATGGCAACCAATCGCATAGACATCTTGGATTCAGCCCTGCTTCGTCCTGGCCGCATTGATAGAAAAATTGAATTCCCACCTCCAAATGAAGAGGTAAGAGTGGGGCAGCTTTTCATTTGCTTCTTGTAATAGACTTTCTCCAATAAAGAGATGCTGGAATGTCCATCAGCTATACTGTATTGTACTTTCTATACTGTTTTGATTCCAATAGGCTCGTCTGGACATCCTGAAGATTCATTCTCGTAAGATGAATCTGACAAGAGGAATCAATCTGCGGAAGATTGCAGAACTAATGCCGGGGGCTTCTGGGGCTGAGGTCAAGGTAATGGGGAAATTCTGATTTAAAAAGCTGCTGTACCTTTTAAAGTGAATGATTTTTCTAAAAAAAAGTCATGGATTTATTAGAAATATGTGGGGAATATAGTTTTTCAACTTGTGAATAGGAGGGATATTGGCAAATATTTTCCTGATATTTTTATGCTATTCAAGTGTTATTTTGACATTCTGCTGTGCAAAACTTTTTCAATACTGAAGAGACCATTATTTGCATGGTTCTTTTTTGTGACCAGTGAAAATGAATGTTGGTGTTAAAACATATAATTGCTAAATGTTTCAAAAGAAGAATTAGTGCTTGAATTAAAATGAGCACTTTATGCATACATTTTATTTATTTATTTATTTATTTATTTATTTATTTATTTATTTATTTATTTATTTATTTATTTATTTATTAAATTTATATACCGCCCTATTCCTGAGGGACTCAGGGCGGTGAACAGCGAACGATAAAAATACATGTAATACAAACGTTAATAAAAAACCAATTAAAATATACTAAACACTCTGGTCCTAGATAATTCAAGACATCCCAGTTTAAAATAAAATCAAAAGCAATATAAAGGGAAAGTTAGGCCAGGCCGGCCTGCTGAAACAGGAATGTTTTGAGGGCACGGCGGAAAGTGCGCAGATCCAGAATCTTCTGTATCTCTGGGGGGAGCTCGTTCCAGATGGTGGGTGCCCTCACAGAAAAGGCTCTCCCCCTGGGGGCCGCCAGTCAACACTGTTTGGCTGACGGCACCCTGAGAAGCCCCTCTCTATGGGAGTGTACTGGGCGGTGAGAGGCTATTGGTGGCAGAAGGCGGTCTCGTAAGTACCCCGGTCCTAAGCCATGGAGCGCTCTAAAGATGGTAACTAAGACCTTGAAGCGCACCCGGAAGACCACAGGGAGCCAGTGCAGCTCGTGCAGGAGGGAAGTCACATGGGAGCGCCATGCTGCTCCCATAACTACCCGTGCGGCCGCATTCTGGACCATCTGGAGCCTCCGGGTGCTCCTCAAGGGGAGCCCCATGTAGAGAGCATTACAGTAGTCCAGGTGTGAAGTGACGAGGGCATGAGTGACCGTATTTAACGAGTCCCGATCCAGAAAGGGACGCAACTGGCGAATCAGGCGAACCTGATAAAAAGACCTCCCGGCCACAGCCGTCAAGTGTTCTTCTAAAGACAGCCGTGAGTCCAAGAGGCCACCTAAGTTGCGAACCCTCTCCGTGGGGGGCAATGACTCATCCCCAATAAGTCAGTGATGGCACCAACTGACTATATCGGGACATCAGAAACCGCAGCCACTCGGTCTTGGATGGGTTGAGCCTGAGTCTGTTCCTCCCCATCCAGATCCGTACAGCCTCCAGGCACTGGGACATCACTTTAAGGGCATCATTGGGGTGGTCCGGGGTGGAGATGTATAGCTGAGTATCATCAGCATACTGATGATACTTCACCCCAAAACCACGGATGATCTCACCCAGCGGCTTCACATAAATGTTGAACAGAAGGGGTGAGAGAACCGACCCCTGTGGCACCCCACATACAAGGGGCCTCGGGGTCGACCTCTGCCCCCGTCAACACAGACTGCGACCGATCAGAGAGAAAGGAGGAGAACCACCGCAACACGGTGCCCCCCACCCCTAACTCTTCCAACCGGTGCAGCATGATACCATGGTCGATGGTATCAAAAGCTACTGAGAGGTCTAATAGGACCAGGACAGAGGAGCAACCCCTGTCCCGGGCCCTCCAGAGATCATCTACCAATGTGACCAATGCTGTTTCCGTGCTGTATCCAGGCCTGAAGCCCGACTGGAACGGATCTAGATAAGCCGATTCATCCAAGTACTGAGGAAGCTGTCGCGCTACCGCACTCTCAACAACCTTCGCAACGAAGCGAAGGTTGGAGACTGGACGGTAATTAGCCAACACTGCTGGGTCCAGGGAAGGCTTCTTGAGGAGAGGCTTCACCACCGCCTCTTTCAAGGCGGCGGGGAAGGCACCCTCTCTCAAGGAAGCATTTATAATCCCCTGGAGCCAGCCTCGTGTAACCTCCCGAGAGGCCAGCACCAGCCAGGAGGGACACGGGTCCAATAAACATGTGGCCGCGCTGTCTGCCCAGTATCTTGTCCACGTTTTCCGGAGTCACAGAATCAAACTCTTCCCAGGTAATATTCTCAAGACTTGCCTCCATTATCCCTCCCGAATCTACCCAGTCAGAGTCCAAATTTTCCCGAATCTGAGCGATTTTGTCATACAGATATTGTACAAAGTCCTCGGCTCTACCCTCCAAGGGGTCCTCCCGCGCTTCCTGGTGGAGCAGGGAGCGGGTCACCCTAAACAGGGCGGCCGGGCGATTATCTGATGACGCAATAAGAGCGGAAAAATAGTTACACTTTGCCGCTTTTATTGCCACCAGGTAGGTCTTAATATGAGACCTTACCAGTGTTCAGTCAGATTCAGAACGGCTGGCCCTCCAACTGCTCTCTAGGCGTCTTTTCCGGCGTTTCATCTCCCTCAGCTCCTCGGTGAACCAGGGAGCCAGGTGAGATCGATGCCGGGTTAGAGGCCGCAAAGGCACGACCCGGTCCAAAGCTCCAGCGGCCGCCCTATCCCAGGTAGCCACTAGGTCTTCATCGAGCCGTGTGCCAGAGCCTCAGGAAATGGCCCAAGCTCCGTCTGGAACCTATCCGGGTCCATCAGGCGCCTGGGGCGGAACCACCTCATCGGTTCCGCCTCCCTGCAGCGGGGTGTGGCGGTTCGAAGGTCAAAGCGAAGGAGGGAGTGATCTGACCATGACAAGGGCTCGATCACTATATCCCCTATCTCGAGACCACTCAGCCACTGACCAGAGACAAAAACCAGGTCCAGAGTGTTTACCCCCGTGTGAGTAGGGCCATGAACTAATTGGGTCAGGTCCATGGCCGTCATGGAAGCCATGAACTCCTGAGCCACCTCAGACGCCTCACCGACGGATGGCAGGTTGAAGTCCCCCATGACCATAAGCCTAGGGGTATCAATCGCCACCGCGGCTATAACGTTGAGTAGTTCAGGCAAGGCCGCTGCCACGTGGCAGGGAGCCAGGTACGTAACCAGCAGCCCATCTGCACCCCATGACCCCACTTCACAAGGAGGGACTCACATCCGGCTGTCTGAGGAACAGTGGCCTCCCTCTTTAGATTAAGAGGATCATTAAGACCCTCTTTAATGATAACTGCCACCCCCCCACCCCTTCCCTGTGACCTTGGCTGATGAAATGCCCGGAAACCGGGTGGGCACATCTCTACAAGAGGGACTCCCCCCTCCTGGCCCAACCAGGTCTCCGTAATACCCACCAGGTCCGCTCCCCCCTCCTGAACAAGATCACAAATGAGGGGGGGCTTTATTTACCACGGACCTGGCATTGCATAGCATCAGCCGAAGGCCCAGGGCCTGAGGGTCTGTGCCACCTGGGGAACGAGAAGAGCATTGGGGACCGGAGCGTGCCACCGCTTGAAGACAGCGAGCGCGCACTCCCGCAACTTGATGTGGCCCCCTACTCCCGCCATATCTGCCCCTCCCACCTACAGTACTGATGTAATGTCTATCAACAGCACAAGCTCTAACCCTCTCCTTGGCCCCGGATTCTGCATCTCCTCCGCCGTGCTCTTCAGATGGACTAGATCCCGTCCCTCGCGGGTTAATCCCTGATTAACCATACAACCCACCCCCCTCCCGGGAGACCCCCCAGCCTCATTATTTACATTGGAAACCACCCTCCTCCCAGATCCCCTTAAAATAGAATTTGAAAAACTATCTAAAAAACCCCAAAGCTTCTGGTTCTTAGCATACAATAATTAAAATATAATTAAAAATCTCTGCACTCTTAGCATTAGGAACAATTGTATTGTTTTTAGATGAGGCAAAAGATGGTCTGGCTGAGCTCTATGTTCACTTGATATTTGAGTGGAACAGGACATACTATATTGTACAAATTTGTGTTGCAGGGTGTATGTACAGAGGCTGGAATGTATGCATTGAGAGAGAGGAGAGTACACGTAACTCAAGAAGACTTTGAAATGGCTGTAGCAAAGGTACTGTTGGTGATTGATATGAGACAAAGGAAATACCCAATATATACAGCTGCCTTCCCTAACGAGTTTTTCTTATATACTGAATTATAATGCTTTTAATTTTGATTCAGAATATCCACTGGGCATGCTAACTGTGTGATAAAAGTATCGCTGGATTTAGGATGACAGTTAGGATTGGAGTTTCTGACAATAAGTGATAAGGTCATAAAACACGGTTGCATCACTTAATGATGGCAATCTTTGCAGTCCTGGTTGCCAGTGTTAACTGAATCCTGTAGTCATTAGACAAGGCAACCATGGGAATTCAGCAGGAACTTGTAAGTCCTAGACTGGCAGGCACATAAGAGTGGAAGAGAGTGCACACAAGGAAAGTTAACGATGGTGAGTTGGGTGGGTCAGGGGAAGTGCACAAGAGACATGGGATAGGTCAGGGAGAATGCAAGGGGGTGTATTTGCCTTCATTGTGTACAAGAAGTGTAGATCAAGGTCGATGTGCACAAGCAACATGGGTCAGGTGCAGGAGGGGATGTGACAGGCACAAGTCACTGTGCAAATGGCCCGCCCAAGCATAGAATGGCTGTGGAGTATGCACGGGTAAGAGAGACATACCACAACAACTTTTGATCTTCTCTGCTGGCTTCTCCATAAATTTCTGTGGAAGCCAGCATGAAATGATGTAAATGGTGATTATGCGATCAATCTTAAGTGTGAATTAGTTGCCCAGACCAGTCACATAATCATAGAGGGCTGGCAAGTCATAACTACCATTTGTTCAGTGCAATCATAACTGAATGATTGGTGAATAAATAATTAGGGTGATTATTAAAATTGTAACTGAGTACTACTTGTGGTTAGGAGTGACTAACCAGAACTGCCTTAGAGAAGCTGTAGCATTTAATAGTGGGAATTCTCAAAAGTTGAATTACTTAAATTCAACTATTACTGACATTTAATTGGCTAGGTGAGTGATAGCAGACTTAAATCAAAAACTCCTGCATTTTTATTAATATAGTATAATGAAGGTAACTTGAAGGTACAACTTTATAATGGAATTAATGTTGAGAGTTTTTTGGTTAGGGAGAGATAATAAAATATACGGATTTAAACAGCCAGCTTAGTGGTAGAAGAAAGCTTTTAAGAAGCTGCAATTTATGTATTACTTTATGCTTTGTTTTTAATGCTGCTTCTCCCTTGGCAGGTTATGCAAAAAGACAGTGAGAAGAACATGTCCATCAAGAAGCTCTGGAAATAAAAAAGTTGCTGCTGTTTCATCAAGTTATTTCCTATTATGTCATTTACTTGTTTTTCATGTAATAAAACAATATAAATGATTGTAAATGGAAGAGGGGGAAAGGGTTTTTTTTAGAGTTTGTTCAGCTTTTCAGCAATGAAATTAGTTTATAAAACCAAATGAATTGCATGTTTTCTCACTGGAAGCATTTTAGGAGATGAGGTCCTCCTAAAAGCCTGGTTAAGTCTGAGGTAATATGTCTTTGAAACAGCATTTGCAGTTCTGTTTTCAAGTTTTTGTACTTCTACTCTAATTTGTAGCTTGGAAAGGTACATGTTAGATATGTGTGCAACTTGATCCAGAACTAAATATTCTGTATCACTCTACTACTTTATGCTACTCCAGGACAATTCTGGAAGTAACTTCCAAACCAGACTAGTGTAGAAAACAAGAAGAGTCTGTTCCTGGGTTGAAAATTTTTGTGCTTATCAAATGGTGGTAAATATATTGAAATTGTTATAATCAAGTTTAAGGTAGAGGGATAAAAACTGCTTAGGGAGAATGTCTTGAAAAAAAATTAAGTTTGTGATATTAAAAGAACTCATTAACATTTTACTAAAGGTCCCTTGACTAGCTTATTTTGATGTCTTCAAAAAAAGAAGTGGAATTGTATCTATGAATAGAAACAGTTAACTAAACTTTATGAAGTGAAAATTGTACCATAACAAAAATTTAACTAAATTATTATTATTGTGAATTTTTGGAGGTAGTCCTGCCAATTAAACTTTGTAATTTTGAGATAGAGAACCTGCTTCCCCATCCTGTTCCCCCTCCCCTCCAATAAACTAAGCAGTTGCGACTATTTATTGGGCTGTTTTTGTTAAAAATTACAAACTTGTGTGTGCAGTATATCAGGACATGCAATTGTTGGGAGACTAAGAACGAAGTTTAGTGGATTTACAGCAAAATCTAAGCTTTCAGGGAAGAGGCTTCTTAAGGCATCCTTGAACTATGTGGTCAAAAGTAATAATAAAAGTTTCATGTAGTGTGCCATTGTAAATGCGGATGAGTTCCGAGTGTGTTACTGAACAATACTTTGGAAGTACTGGTCTTTTTAACAAGTTCAAAGTAGTCTTATCATTACATTCAGAACCAACTGGATATGTGTTGCAATCAGACACAAAACTAGATGATTTCATGTATTCAATATAGTTAGAATTGTTTCCTTTTAAACATTCTGCATATGAAAAATAATTTTGCAGTTTACATTGGGATCCCAACCCTCAGGCCAGGGCCCATTACTGGGCAGTGAACCATTTGGAACTGGGCCGTGGAAGTGATGGGTGAATGCGCATGTGCACAACCCCACTTGCATAAGCAACAGGCAAGCATGTGTTCCATTTGTGAGAGTGCAAATGAAGTGCATATGTGTGCTTGCTAGCCACTCCTGTGCATCCATCCCCTTCCCCCTGCTTGGTCCACAATGCTGGAAAGGTTGGGGAACTCTGGACCAATAGGGCACAGTGCTGCTCAAGGGATATGCAGTGTAACCTCATACCTTACTAATTTATAGTATTTTTCATTTTAAAAATTTCCATTTAACACACTAGCCAGTGTACCACATACTTTAATCAGTGTCTCCAACATCCTAAGGAACTGAAAAACAAGATTTTTAACACCAGTTGCTGCTAAAATGTATTTTTATTTTTAAAAAATTAACATAGAAATTGGTAACATACTTGCTTATAGGTAAACATCCCATCGCTTCTACTTAGCCAAACTATATCAAGGGGCAGGCCAGGAAGCAGGGAGATAATCTTAGGACGATTTAAGTGCTGAGGGCCCAAAAGTCTGGAAAATGAAGGCACTTGAACGAAGTTAGAAAAGATCGAGGAAATTACTACTTACATCCTATGGCTGGTAGCCCCAGGAATGTTTCCTCTAGCATTGTAACCTTGTCGTAAAATATACTCTCCACTGTTCTAAATCACACACACACAGATACATATATATATATATATATTAATGAGAAATGATTGTTAACAGCATAGCACTATTTTAGCACTGACCTCCCCCCCTTTGTGATATTGTGGAATATCAATTGCATAGGGTGGAATAAAGGCCACCACCAAGTATACATTAACAAACTTTCTACAAGAAACAAAACTGTACCCCAGCTCAACAAAAAGATAGTGCAAAGATTAAACGCCAGCAAAACTGGCAGGAATGGACACAAGCTTTGGTTAAAAGTGAGCAGCAGATTCCTGCATTGCAAGACTGCAAAAGCTCTGCTAAGAGGTAGAAGCAACTCAAAACAAAAATTCCTAGTGCCCCAAAGGCAAAGCACATATGAAGGGCAGGTTTTGATGAGGGAGAAGAACTCCCTTCTCTCTGCTGAAGGACACCTTATATGAGTCCATACAGAGTATTGAACACAATATGCAATGGCAGCAGAATCCCCACCCCGCCCCACCTTCCAAGAGGAAAGGACAAGGGCTGTCTGCCTATTGGTCCATTCCAAAGTACCAGGAAGTGTGGAAGAACTGCAAAAGAAGACAGCCCTAAGTAAGGCGAACACCAAGCACTTGTTCCAGTTCTTGTCTGCGCTGCTGAACCTGAAAGACAGAAAACCATTATCGAGATAGATGAGAATCACAAATAGATATTTGGTTCTTTCCTTACAGTAGTTTGAAGAACTCCTTTTAAGTGCTCTAATTGCCATTTCAGGATAAATTATAGCGGCTCCACCAAATATAACTTTGGACATAAATTATAATTGTTTCAGCAATTAATGGGAAAAGTTGTTATGCACTTCTACAAAGGAATTCCATGGGAAAGCAAAAAACGGAAGTCAAATATAAGAAGGAAATAACGTTAATCAGCTTTGAAGTCTGCACTGAAAGAGTGACTGCACTTTGAAGACTGCACTGCATTAAAAATAGAGTTCTATGTTCACTCTGCCTCCATGTTGAAATAAGGAAAAAATGTTAATTTTTTAAAAAGTTACACTGAATTATGCTCTCCTACCTTTGCAAAGATATGTCGTCCAACAGCTTCTTGCATCCATGGTTGCTGATAGAAATCAGCCCGTCTCTCTTCTTCTGGGTTCCCAGCCACATCTGTGATGATCTAAGGCAAAATGGAGGCATGGAAGAGGGAATTGTGGAATGTTTAATATTAGGATCCAAAATAACTCCACTGAGACTTGGTCATACTGAAATTTAGCTAGTTATGAATATTATAAACCTGGCTAGATTTCAATCTAATTCAGAAGTTCCAGGAAGATTGAAAAAAATATGAAGAAAGGGAGGCACTGATATACCTAGATTATATTCCACCCTAAAAATATTATTATAACTCAATAATTTATTAATATTGGGCAGTCAGATGCATTTGAAGAATAAACATGTTACCTCTATTTTATTTCTTCCTTCCCATTTAAAATGCATCTTTCCCAGTCAATGGAATAAATTATCTATTTTACATATTTTCCTTTCTTCAAGATATGAAAAAACTCAGGGGAAGGAAGGATTACTTCAAGCCTCATATAAGAGTAAACAAAACATGTAAACAAAAAAGGAACTAATTTCTATCCACGTAGCATGAATTTCAAAATGTAAGGGTAATTGACAGGTTAATTTGTATAATTTTGATTGTTAGTCTTAAAGGAACTGAATATTTGAATTCAAATTCAAATAAAGGGCTGTAAAATTATGGAAGCATTCAAGTAATTCCACATGCACAATTATGCTAACAAGCCTGATTTAATTCAATGTTGCTTACTTTGGGGTATACATGTATGGAGTTATTTACCCCCTGCATAAATCCTTCATAGTCATCCAAATACTTACCTTCAAATCTCTCTGTTGAGATCTGATCCAGTCCTGAATAAAATCCTGAGGATTATTACTAAAACTCAGCATAAAATCTCGTTGTGTCTTCAACTGATTAATAGATTCGATTGTTTCATGAATCTGTACAAAAATACAAAAAGTGCCTTATGAAGAAGAGCAAAAATGCCACAACTGAGTAAGTCTGGAAACAAATACAAACCTAACCCTCTAAAACTGTGTTAATAATATGGGAGTCCCAAGATTTGGAGGTATATCTATACTGCCTAGAACAAACAAGTAATGACCATCGACCAGTAGTCTTCAAACCCTGCAACAATGTATAGCACCAGCTGCTATTTTAAATCAATGCATTTGATAAAGATTCTGGAGTAGGAAACAAACAGGAGAAAGGAATAGAGACACAAACACAATACTGAGAAATACGAATGGATGATATTAACAGATTAACAGTTGGAAGGGACCTTATAAGTCATCTAGTCCAACCCCCTGCTCAAGCAGGAGACCCTACACCATTTTTGACAAATGGCAGTCCAATCTTTTCTTGAAAGTCTCAAGTGATGAAGCTCCCACAATTTCCGAAGGCAACTTCTGTTCCATTGGTTGATTGTTCTCACTGTCAGAAAGTTCCTCCTTATTTCTAGGTTGAATTTCTTCTTGCTCAGTTTCCATCCATTATTCCTTGTCTGGCCTTCAGGTGCTTTGGAAAGAGCTTGACCCCATCCTTTCTGTGGCAGCCCCTCAAATATTGGAAAATGGCTATCATGTCTCCCCTGGTCCTTCTCTTCACTAGACTAGCCATGCCCAGTTCATGTAACCGTTTTTCATACGTTTTAGCCTCCAGTCCCCTAATCATCCTGGTTGCTCTCCTCTGCACTTTTTCTAGAGTCTCAACATCTTTTTTTATAGTGTGGTGACCAAAACTGGATGTAGTACTCTAGGTGTGGTCTTACTAAGGCTTTAAAGAGTGGTATTAGTATCTCACTTTATCTTGATTGTATCCTTCTGTTAATTTAGGATTGCATTGGCTTTTTAGCTACTGCTGCACACTGCTGGCTCATATTTAACTGATTGTCCACTAAGACACCAAGATCCCTCTTGCAGTCATTGCTATTAAGCCTGGTTTCCCCCCGTTTATATGGTGAAGCTATCTATCCCACTTTTTTCTAGCTTACAAAGAAGTAGCTTGTGGTCTACTTTGTCAAATGCCTTGCTGAAGTCTAAGTATATTATGTCCACAGTATTTCGCTGGTCTACTAATTTAGTCACTATGTTGGGTGGCCTATAGTATACACTTATGACTATGTCATTCTTTTTGTCTTTTATGTTGACCCATATGCATTCTAGGAGGTTTTCGTCTTTGGTTTCATGCAATTCTATAGCAATATAGTGGTCCTTTACATACAATGCAACTCCACCTCCTCTTTTATGGGGTCTGGTTTTTTTGAAGAGTTTGTATCCTTCTATCAGTATGTTCCAGTCGTGGGTTTAGTCCCACCAAATTCCTACTATGTCATATCTACCTTCGGGTATTAATAGTTCAAGTTCATCCTGTTTATTCCCCAGACTTTGTGCATTTGTATATAGGCACTTGAGGTCTTTATGCCTGACTCTGGGTATGCTTCCTATGTCTCCTATTTGGTATTTGAGTTTGTCTTCCTTCCCATCCCTCCTTACTTCATTATTTGCCTTGCTTTCTAGGAGTTTTTGTTTAGAATTAGACCTTGGAGATCCTAAAGACTGATTACCCTCTCCCCTCAATTTTAGTTTAAAGCCCTCCTGATAAGTTGAGCCAGTCATTTTCTGAAAACACTCTTTCTAGTCTTTGTGAGATGCAACCCATTCTTGCCAAAAGTCCATCTTGGAGGTGTGAGAACACTAACTTTCTATTGTCCCTAGACAACATGGTGAGTAGGAAAGATTAAAGAGAAAGAATACATATTATTTTTATTTCTTTTTCTAATTTTGATTTTTCCTTTGCTTTCTTTGTACTGTCATAATTTTTAAATGTCA